TCGGAGAAAAGGTGGCGGAACTCAAACCTGGCCACGCCCTCATCAAACCCTAGGACCGCCCCTTTAGAGAACAGGAATGCAAGTAAAATTTGGGAGGGGCTATTTCCGGTGTGGGAGGGGCTATTTCCGGTGCGGCCGGCCCGGAAAAAGGTGCCGGAACGCGGTTCTGCCGCGTTCCGGCTGAAAAAAAGCCCTGCTTATATCTGAATATTAGCCTGGGATTTGGTTTGGGAAGTCCGGGGGGGTGGGATATAATATTGTGTAATAATATTGTGTAATACTGGTGTTGTTTTTTTTATGATGAAAACAATAAAAATTTTATATTGAAAAAAAAAAAATCTTGGGTGAGAATCTCCTTCCCTCAGCCAGGGCATTGAAAATGGGTCATGGATGGGTATTCCAGCATGACAGTGACCCAAAACACACAACCAAGGCAACAAAGAAGTGGCTCAAGAAGAAGCACATTAAGGTCCTGGAGTGGCCTAGCTAGTCTCCAAACCTTAATCCCATAGAAAGGGAGCTGAAGGTTCGAGCTGCCAAACATCAGCCTTGAAATCTTAATGACTTGGAGAGGATCTGCAAAGAGGAGTGGGATAAAATCCCTCCTGAGATGTGTGCAACCCTGGGGGCCAACTACAAGAAACGTCTGGCCTCTGTGATTGCCAACAAGGGTTTTGCCACCAAGTACTAAGTCTTGTTTTGGGAAGGGGTCAAATACTTATTTCACTCATTAAAATGCAAATCAATGTATAACTTTTTTGAAATGCGTTTTTCTGTATATTTTTGTTGTTATTCTGTCTTTCACTGTTAAAATAAACCTACCATTACAATTATAGACAGATCATTTCTTTGTCAGTGGGGAAAAGTACAAAATCAGCAGTGGATCAAATAATTTTTCCCTCACTATAGATAGTTGAACCAATTCAAGAATGATAGGTCTGTCAAAGGAAATGAGAGCTAAATAAAATCTCGAAGTCCAGAGATAGTTTATTGCTGATACTACCATTAGAGAACATGGAAGAATTGTTAGTTCTTTGCCCTAATTCAGCAGGACTGCTGTTAGAAATATTATCAAATACAGGTAGTCCTTGATTTATGAATATTTCATTCAATGACCATTTGAAGTTATGGTGGAGCTGAATGAATGGTGGTTATAAGCAGTCCTTGGCATTCTAACTGTCCTAGCACTCTTTTGGTCAAATGATCACAATCTGGGCACTTGACAACAGGCTCACATATAACAACCAGTTGTAGCACCCTGTAATCACTATTTGCAACTTTCTTACCAGTTTCCCCAGAAAGTCAATGGTTAAGATGGCAGGGAAGGACACAAAATGCTGGGATAAGTCTCCCTCCCTCCGTGCAATCTCCCCCAGCGCCTCTGCACTTGTGCTAGTCATGGACTCCTTTGTACCTTCCACAAGCCTCCCCGTGCCTCCCTCACACACCCTTCTTCAGCGTTATCACACTTTCCTTGCATTCTGATGTACTTCCTTGTACCCTATCCTACCTAGCAGCAGCCATTTATCTGCTGCTGACCTGCTTGCAAGCTGCCTGGGACTTGTAACTTTTGTGCTGGCTTCCCAACTGACTTGGCTGTGTGAAGATGGCAGGAGGTTTCATCGCCTAACAACTGGGATTCAGTTAATGACAACAATTAGGATAGCAGAGGTCACCATATTTAAGCAATGTAGTTGCATTTTATGACTGCATCACTTAATGACTGAAACTCAGGTCCCAATTGCCTTCATAAGTCGACGACTACCTGCCTTGCGTAAACAGTGAAGGCAGGAAAATAGTTGCTAGCCTTTCCCAATGGTATATATATTAATAAAAATATGCTCCTATGTTTAATATTTTAAATCTTTTTATCTTGGTAGATGATCCATTTCCTCACACATTATGCTGATAAGATTGAGTCAATTCATTTTTCAGACCAGTTTTCCGGTCCAAAACTTATGCAAGAGTGAGTATGGCACAAAAATTGCTTTTGTATTTCCAAATGAATATTGCTCTAAAATTTGCAAAAAGGGAATTAGAGGAGAAATTTAGCTTAGGAACCGTAGTATGACATCTATTGTATTGTATATTTCTGGTTACAATAGTCATGAGTTGGGAATGACTATCCCTTCAGCAATAGAGCATGTTTTACAGTATGTTGAATAAAATGTTAGAGATGTTTGAACAGGGGCATTAAGTGAAAGAGCTCAATGTGATACTAGTATCCCAACTATTAATTCCTATTCTAACTATTCGAAACATGAGCATTTGCAATGGCTTATCTCTCAATAATTGTGCAGATATCATTATAGGATGGATAATGCTGCATTAAATGTTTACCGCACTTAACTACCACAAATGTTTACTACATTTAAGATTCAGGCTAGGATCTGTTACAGCTTATTTTCTGCTCAATAGATAGGATAAATCACTATGACAGATCCTCTGATGATGATGATGAAGGAGATTCTACATTCTTTCTGCAGGGTGTGTGTGTGTGTCTAGGATGGTATCACCTGTCATTATCTTTTGAGATAATGTCAAAAGGAGCTGTTGCCAGATTTCTTCTCCTGGTTTTCTAATGGGCTTTCTGATGGGAAGATCTCCCAGGACTCATAGGTGTTTTTGCTAGGCCCTAGAGGAGGCTGACAGACAATAACAAAGTGGCATAAATAATGGCTTCTAAAATATTATTTTATTGCACTTTTAATAAAATGTATTAATTACAAGTGATGTTACCAGACTCCTGATTTTTTTTTGTTGCCATAGGTTAATGATTCTCCTTCTTGCAGGAAGTTTTACAATTTATAATATTATAGGATAACCTTTGCTGCCAGGGTTGTGCAGCTTCACCCAAAATAGGAGCCTACTATGGAGTAACTTACTAGATATTGCTGTTGCCATTTTTTGTGGTCATTTTTAAAATCCTTTTACCAGTGCTTCTTTTTGTTCTCACCCAGGGAAGGCCAGCCTTTGAAACTGCCTGAAACTAAAAAGACACTGCTGTTTACTTTTAATGGTAAGAATAAGCTCCTGTTTTGAATAGCTTTCCTTAGGAAACATAGAATGTTTACCCCTGAGAATGTATTTCAAAATCAGAGTATAACTTATAATCTGTCCCGATTAACAGATCTATTTCTAACATTTGTTTGGCTCCTATTGTAATTTGGCAGGAGGTTAAAATGTAGTTAAAGAAAGGAAAGATAGTGGGTTTATGAGAATCTTAGCAGAGACATGGATATTATTGACTATTTAAAAATACCATAAGTTGCCTTGGCTGCCTAAAATTTAATAATAAATAGAATAAATATTTATTTATTTATTTATTTTTTAAACTTCTATGCCGCCCTTCTCCCCAGAGGGACTCAGGGCGGCTCACAGCATGTTAAAAAACAACACAAAAAAACATTTCCCCTATAAAACCAATTAAAAAGCAAATATATTAATGGCTGTGTCATATTTAAAATCTTTAAAAAATTTTAAAAATTATTCCCTATTTAAAATTCACCCTAGGTCAGTCCCGCTTGNAGCGCTTTAAAGGTGGTAACTAACACCTTAAAGCGTACCCGGAAGGCCACTGGTAGCCAGTGCAGCTCGCGCAGCAGCGGCGTTACGTGGGAGCGACGTGTCGCTCCCAACACCGCCCGCGCGGCCGCATTCTGGACCAGCTGAAGCCTCCGGATGCTCCTCATAGGGAGCCCCATGTAAAGAGCATTACAGTAGTCTCTTCATTGCTATAATTGTGAATTGCCCTGTATAGGAATTTCTACCATGTCAGCATCTCAATGAAACTATCAGGAGTGCTGTAAGTAAATGCAGATTAGAATGATGAAGTGACTTTATTAAAAATTTAAAAGTTTGCCTTCCTAGATTGTCCTTTATTGTATTTATCTTACATAGTTGCAGTCTTTTGTTTTGCTGTTGCCTAGTTCTTGCAGTGAAGCTTATCAGTGTATGATGCAATGAGTTTTGTTTTTCAGCCAGTTTGTCATAGAGTCTGATGCTAATTCAGAACTGAAAGCAAGTGACTGGGCCAAGGTCACCCAAGGCCTTACCTAAGGAATGACTAAATGACTTCCCAGTCCTTGTCCAGGAGCTTTGCCACCACATCATAGTGGCTCTATTTGTACACCCCTATAAATTTTAATTCACAAGTAAAACTGAACATAAATGTCCTTTTTCTTGGAAGTACCAGGTTCAGGCAACACTTCCCCCAAAGACATGGAAGCTCTGCTGCCTCTGATGAACATGGTTATTTATTCTATTGACAAAGCAAAAAAGTTCCGTCTGAATAGAGAAGTAAGTTTTATGTTAACCCTGTCTATCATTATGCTAATTGTATATGCATGACTCATGTAATGAGAATGTTTAAAAATCCATGCAGTTCTCTCCCAGATATGTTTGTATTCCTTTCTGCTCTATCACCATTTCATTCCAAATAGCCTAACTGACCTAGCATCCATGCCCAGTGGACTGTTGGATGCATTCAGAAATGTTACAAAGTGAATAGGGAGTTGAAAGTCCTCTCCTCCTTTTCAGTCTTTGGCCATTGAAAACATGCTTTTTATAGTCTAGGAGTAAATTAATATCTCTTACAAAGTGGATGCTGATATTTCAATCTTCCATGAATTGGTCCAGTTTCCTTTAAAATCACATGTGACAGAAAAAGCCATAGTTAAATATGCATTCTCTAAATAACTTTATTGGTGTCATTCTCACTGCATTAATGTTAAAGAATGCCCTACGTTACAACAATGTGAGAGGAAAATGTGTCCGTATTATATACCTCTATTTATATTTTCCCTTATCTGTCTTCACCCCAAGATGAAGAGTCCAAATGCAGTAGTCCCTCCTTGTGAAACAGTTGCCTTTCTCCTAATAATTTGATTTGATTTGATATTATTTTATATGCCACCCATCTTACTGTGGAAATGATTTTGTTTTCAGTTTTGGTTGTTTTCATCTCTACAAAATCTTTTTTTCTGGTGTCATGATTGGAACTATTCAGTTTTGTAGGTATATCTTCATCACAAATTTATCAAACGGCATTAATATGCTGGCAATCTTGTTTTATTTTGCACTTCCTTTCCAATTATTCTAGTCTAGAATTTTTCTTTTTTATATTTTCATTGAACTGTCCACAATGATTCTAAGGTATTTTTTTTTATCTGTCAGCCATAGCTAATTAACATATTTGTGAGGCTTGGATTTTTTTCTCATGTACCTCATTTGCACTTCTTATCATGAACTTTGAAGAAATCTTTTAGCAATCTTTGCAGTCATGTTTTTATTTTATGACTGAGCAGTTTATTACTATCATTAAACATCATCTCAATGCTATACTCTCACTCCAGATCATTTATAAACAAATTACTAAACCCTACTATGAATGTGTTTCAATTTCAAAATTATATTTTAATTCTTGTTCTTTGTGTTGTTTCTTAGTTATTTTCTAGTCCATAAGCGTACAGTATGTGTTCTCTTATCTTATGGCTGCTGAGTTTTTTGGGGAGTCATTGACAATGAGATATATGTTTTTTGAAATTCTGCTAGAACATTCTCCAGAGATAATTTTATTATTTATAGTAATTTCAAAACATAGTCTTATAGAACTGTAAAGACAGACCCATTTAGTAAAGCACAAGCTTTCATGAATTCTAGGCCTTTGTATCAAATGCATAAAGTATCATGAGAGATTGGATATAAGCATATGCATATTGGTGGAAAAATGGTGCAAATAATTGATAAGTAGTACCAAGTGTGACTTAGAATCAGGTAGATATGAAAACCAGAAAGACTATAGTTCTTTAGACCAGCTTTCTTCTACAGTGTAGTCTTTAGATTTATTGGAGTTTCAGGTCTTTACATTTCTAGTCTAGAACACTCCAGATATGTTTAGGCAATTTGTGGATTAAGGAACTTGTTCTTCAACATTTGCATTTGATTGAGAAAAGCTGGGGGAGGACTATTGAAATTAAACAAGTAGATAGATTTTGCTTGGATGTATTGGGAAAGGCATCATCATCATTAACACTGCAAGTAGTCCTTGACTTACTACCATTTGTTTAGCATCTGTTCAAGCTGAAAAAGGTGACTTATGACTGGTCCTTGTACTTATAATGTTGTAGTATCCCCTCAATCATGATCAGAATTCAAGCCCTTGGCAATTGTATTTTTGGCAGTTCCAATGTCCTGGGTCATGAGATCACCATTTGTAACCCTTCCAGCCAGCTTCCAACAAGCAAAACTATGGAGGTAGCCTCTTCACTTAACAATCATGTGATTCACTTAACAATTGCAATGATTCACTTAATAACTGTAGGGAAAAAAGTTGCAAAATCAGTATGACTCACTTAACAGCCAACTTTCTTACAATGGAAAGCCGGGTCCAAATTATGGTTGTACTTTGAGCACTACTGTACCCATACTGCAGAGGACTGCAATGGGATTTTGGTCCATTTTTCCACAGTATGAATGGGTTGGGGCTTCTTTCATTTTATGGTAAAAATCAGCCATATCTTGGATTGGGTGGAAGATCTAAGACTGCCAAGAAGGGGTTGGGAGCTGAAAGATGAGCTGCTCTTTCCTCATGGTACCACAGTCTTAGGACTCCAGAACAAGCTGTCAGCAAATGATAAGATAATAAATGATAAAAAGTCAAGATTGACTCACACAAACATTTTATTAGACCAGTGCATTATAGGAGCCTTAAACCAATTCAGGTTCACATTTCAATAAACAAATTTCCTAAGATTTTATGTTTGCAGCTAGTTTATGATATTGCTTGATGTATTGTCAACTATTGGCAAACCTTTGTTCCTGCTCCACTAGATGGCACTAATTCACTTCCAAAATAAAAAAAATAGAATGTATCATAATAATGGTTGAAATCTTGCAAAATAATTAAATTTTATATGAGTTTTATGTTCTTACCTGAAATATCAAAATAGTTGGGACATTAATAAATAATGTTTTAGATTTTTGGTGCCTGTACTGTTATGGGGAATCTCACAATGGTTCCTACCATCTGAGAAAAGTTGCTGATTCCTGTACTATGTGTTTATACATATTGACTAAGTTGTTTGCATTTTTTCTTGCTTTGGGACAAAGGGAAAACAGAAAGCAGATAAAAATAGAGCGCGTGTAGAAGAGAATTTCCTGAAACTGACTCATGTTCAAAGACAAGAGGCTGCCCAGTCCCGCCGGGAAGAGAAAAAACGAGCAGAAAAGGAGAGAATCATGAATGAGGAAGATCCAGAAAAGCAGCGACGTCTAGAGGTATTCTGCTCAATAAACTTGCTATAATAGAAGAAGTATGCTCAGCCTATAGGAGCCATACTAAATTAAGGAAGTTACTAAGATCATAACCACAAAATGATTGAAATGGGGCTAGCAACTTGCCTGAGAAATTTTCTTCTAAATATCAAACTATAAATCTGCTCCTTCAGAGTATTTTATTTTCACCATAAAATTATATCATCACCATCCCCCGACAGTCATGAGCAAAAACATATATATATGTATGTATGTATGTGTGTGTGTATATATATATGTGTGTGTGTGTGTGTATATATATATATATATATATATAAGCAAAAACAATGTAAAGATATTTGCACTTATGTGCTATAAATAGTATGCTACAGAAATATATATAATCCCTTATTGCTATAGAAATATGCATAATCTCTCTGCAGAAAAACATTCCAGTGTTACCCACTGACATGCTATTTTTCCTGAATGTTGAAGATTCCAGTGATTAATATTATAAACAAATAAACTTTCTGGTCTGGGAGGAAAAATGTACATTCCATAATTTGGCTTTCCTATGTTAGATTCGGGGTGTGTGTGTGTGTCCAAGCCCATCTTATTTGCAGTGCTTTATAGGTAATCCTCAACTTACGATCACATTTGGGATCAGAATTTGTTGCTAAGCAAGATAGTTGTTAAATGAGTCACGACCATATTTTTGCCATAGTTGTTAAATGAACCACTGCAGTTGTTAACTGAATCAGGCAATCATTAGCTGAATCTGCCTCCCCCCCCCATTGACTTTGCTTTTTGGAAGCTGGCTGGGAAAGTCACAAATGGTAATAATACAACCTGGGATGCTGCAAGCATCATAAATACATGCCACTTGCCAAATGCCTGAATTTTTATTAAATGACCCTGGGGATGCCGTGACAGTTGTAAATTGAAGGACCCAGTTATGAATCACTTTTTTAACTGCCGTTGTAACTTTGAACAGTTACTAATTGAATGGTTATACTCAAGAATTACTTGTTATATGTTTAGAGGAGTTAACAAGATTTCTAACTTTCACATGATTTTCTAAGAGGAATCCTTTGTTTTAGCCAAAGTTGTTTTGGGCAAGTTCTTTGTAGAAGCCTGTAGTAGCTGAATATTAAGTCTTCCTGGAAAGCGTAGCAATAGACATTGTCACCTCATCATATCTCTGGAGAGGGAGAAAGACAGTTGTTTCATGGTTTGTTTGGTGGATACTATAGTACTTCCTTTTCAAGCTTAAAGAGGATGAATTCGCTGCTTGTATTTTTGTTGTAAGATGCATTGCTTATAATCCTGCTTTATATGGATAAATTCTCTAGCTAGGTTCATATGTTAACTAAGCTACAGTCTTCAATAAGCTGTAATCATCTTGTTCACTCACAGAGTTAAATGACAAATCATAGCTCAGAAAACATTGTGTTTGACTTATATTGTCACATTAAGCCAAAACCTATCAAATCCCATTATTGTTAGCTCTGTGTAAGACCAGCATCTCTGTGTAGCAGAGTTCTAGTAGTAGCAGCAAAGCCCTGTTTTGTAGCTTTCAGTCAAGCAGGGGATCTAATGGCCAGTTTCATCTCCTTAGAAAGTTATAAATTAATCCTCCCAAGGCCTGAGGAAATAGTACCTAATTCAGTGCTTGAATACTTCTATATTTACAAGAAGAGATCCATTTGGAAGCAGATCCATTTTTCATTGCATTGAAAGCATTAATTGAAGGAGAGATATTTTGAACACCCACATAGTTCGAATGTAGTAACTGCAGATTTTTGCGTGGAAGAATAATTAATATTTATCTCATAACAGTAAACAATCTACATTTCCTTGGTGTCTTTGACTTTGCTCTACAATCAAACACAGAATCCAATAATTACACAAAATCAATTTCTTTCCTATAGGAGGCTGCCTTGCGTCGTGAACAGAAAAAACTTGAAAAGAAGCAAATGAAAATGAAACAGATCAAGGTGAAAGCCATGTGAAAAACTCATTTGGAAGAAATATCTTTTTGGTGCCAACCATAGAGTTGCAATCTGCTGCCTACAATAAGCTGATTATATTCCTGACCTTAATCATTGGCCACTTAAGAACCACTTTTGATAATAATTGTTGTTGCTCATGGGATTATGACTGAAAGATTTCTCCCTCCATGTGTATATTTGGCAAAGTTGTGCTTAACTCTATTGGTTTTAACACAATTTTTAAAAATGTGTTTATGTACTGAATTGCTTCAACCATGACCTTCAAAACAGCAAAATTATACTTAGCTATCAATAAAATAAATGTATTTAATCCACATTTGGATTGCAATTCTGAACCTAGTTCAATCCTCTTTAATGACTAGGACAGCTAATAATAAATATTTTAATGGTGCAGCCCATTTTGATTTTATATAACATTCAGATGTGTATATAGAGAGCTTTGCGATTGTCTTCCGTATTAGATTTTTCCCCCTACTTGCTTTGGATGGAGTTCTAGAAATTTGCAATATTCTTTCAGATGCTTTGATTAAATGCATGATGTGTATGAGTGTACACACACTTGGATACACATACACATAAAATGTATGCACATATGTACTCTCACACAGATGTATGCGCACAGGTACACAAACACACACAGTTTCTTAGAATGTACCAACAATGCATAAGCACTTTGATTATATTTAGGAAAGTGGCCAAAATAGAGAGAAACTAATAACCAATCCTTCATATTAAGAAAAAAAATCTGGTTCTTTCACAGTTGGTGCAAACAGCACTCTTGACATTTAGTAGTTACACATGAAATATATGTGAATTTCATGCTTCTTTGTCATAGTAAAGTGCTAAACCAGTATTACTTAACAGTTTTTCAAACTATTATGCTGAGAATTCTAGAAAAACTGCTGAATATGTGTTTGAGATAAGCAAAAATAAATTACAAGATAGCAATTTCAGTGGTAAATGTGCATGCAGATAAGCATCTCTTTTATATCTGCTGTCAATATGTGAGCAACTGGGGAATGGCATGTAAAAATATTTGCCGTAGGGTTGATGATTATTAATAACATAATTAATTTAAAACAATGTAAACACTACCTATTAGGTTGACCTGACAGAAAATTTGGGGCACACCTGTGTCTTTTTGCAAATTCCTGCATAGCAAATGAAAATCCTTGTTGGATCAGTCATATGATTCCTCATACATTGCCCAGTTGTTGAAAATCATTTATCTTCCACATAGCTGACTTCTTTGGATTCATTTTCTCTATATAGGTTTATTGTATTTTCTATTTCTGCATATAAATCATGCTTGCTGATTTGGAACAGGGTGTATGCACTATTTTTTTTCCTTTTTTTAGACAGATGCCTAGATGTTTTAAGAGGTTTCTTTAGATTTTAATGTGCTTTTCTGATTGTATCATATTCCTCCAGTATTTCTGTGCGTCTCTGTAGCTGCTAACTATGTAAAGTTGACAAGGAACCAGGGTCTGAATAACTGTGCAATTCACTTCCCCCTACCCTCAGGTAGAAGCCTATTAGAGGATTATATGTATTCAACACTATTTACTAATTGTATATGCTGGGGAAATTAGAATCTGGAGCTTCTCCCACTTTGCAGTCTTATGGAATTGCTGCATTTTATAAATGCTCGATGGCATTTGACCATTTCTGTATAATGGATTCTTTTTACAGTGAGTTTAATGAGAAGAAACTTGAGGGTTAAGCTTCGTGTATTTTCTTGATTATGCTTGTATCACTGATGCAATAACATTAAGCTGCTCTTTAAAACAGCATGTGCAAAAAGCCACTTGTCAGAGCATGAACATGCATAGATTCTTTTTGAATGCAATCTACAACCCAAAAAATATTTTAATTTGTGATTTTTATATAACTATCATTTATGATATTTTACATCAGAAATGGCAGTGCTACGTGGGATATATTTTAAACTATTTTGTCAATAGATATTATACCAATTGAATAAAATTTTGTTTCACAGAGGTCCTTTTGTAATAGAAATATTTAAAAGCTTGTTATGTAACTTAAGTAATGCTAATAAGAGAAGGGAAGACAATATTACTGGGCTCTCAAAAAAGGAGGTTTCAAGTTTGCTAAACTTTGTAAGACACTCATTTATAAAATCATGTAAGAGAGAAAAGACAACTAATACCAAAAATATGTTTTTCTCCATAGTTTTATTACTAGGATCTTTCTTTTGGTTCATTCCTTTATTTATTAATTAATCTTCCTCTGCAAAGAAGAACCTTATGCATGTAGAAAAAAAGATCAATGCTAAACGGGAATGAAGCATATCAGCCTTTTGTCCCTTCACATAAGTTAAAATAATCTGCAAATCATCAGAGGTATTTGTTATCTAATATGTGTGTGTTTTCATATCTCTACTTAATAGTGCAACTTCTTCTGAAGAATTTGCCATTTAAAAGAAAGTGATGAAAGCGAGACAATATGAAAAAATTGGAATATGGTTAGGCAATGTAGTACCTTTATCAATGATGTCTTAGATAAGTTGGTACTTCCTAAGTACCCTGTTAGTAAAAAATAATAGGTGGTAAGTTAGCATACTGCAAAAAAAAAATTGACTTATATCTTTTTATAAATAAATGAATGAATGAATGAGTAGCTGCAGCCCCATGCTTTGTTTAGAAATATACCACCCATTTAGAAAAATATGGGAATGGTGGGGAACCTCCTTACGAACCAGAAGAAATACAGGAGAAAGAAGCCTCATCATGTCACATTTCAGGAATATGAGTGGCTTGGCAGCCGATATTCTCAAATTTCCACAATTGTCCATCCATCCTGAAAAATGGTCTATGTCTGGGTTACAACCTCTCTTACATAATTAAAGGGAAAACATTGGTTTTCCAATGTGATTTCTACTTCATTGAATCTCAGACTTTGATCAATTCCAAGGCAGTAGTTGGGGTCAAATATACAAAAACCAAACCAAATAAGTCACATTATTGCTTAATACAATATATGAATGAAGTTGAAATATAGAAATAGCTGTGATATTTAATGATGAAAAAAATATATTCTAGGTGCCAAGTGGGCTTTTTAATCCTAAATAGTAACTTGGATGCATCGGTGACTTTTAAAAGATAAATCAATACACAAGAATGTCTGGTAACATTTTGAAATTCTATTTAATACCTCATTACACTGCTCCAGCAACTATTTTAATTTGGCAGCTGGCAAATTTCAAATACATTTCCATGATTACCCCTTTCTACAACTGTTTCCGTTTGTGCCTTGCTTGTAGCAGATTATGCAGTTTCCTCATTTTTGACTTGCCATTATTGAATCTACATTAGGAAAGTCGGTTTCAGGCAAGAGAGAGAGAAAATAAGTCTTGGTTCACAAGTTAAAGCCAAACAAACCACATATTATGTTTAATATTGTATTTGGGTAATCAAGTGTTTGTTCAGAATAGTGGTAAAATAACGTTTTAGGAACTCTGAGCTGACTAACTACACAATCTATGACCATATGTCATTGTTCCAGAGATACTTCCATATCTAAACAGGGAAACAGAATGACCATGGATGGGCAAAAAAGCACTGGGCAGCAGAAGCAAATTCCAATTTTCCATAGACATTCCTTGTAGGAATCTGATAGGGAAGGAAAGTCAGTTGGAAATGACAATCACATGACTGTGGCTGACTGTAGAAGTATGGCAGCATTGAAGCAGGCACAGCTTTGCCAAATTTCAATCCCACTGGAGTCCTGAATTTTGTATCCTATAAGTTTGTCCATTTAAGGTACCTTGACTGGAAAAACCTGTTGCCTTATGATGCAGCATTTCACATAAATGAAGCAGACAGGAAATTTAGTAGTATATAGATGCCTTTCAGTTTCTTCAGGGAACAAGAACACTACTAGATAACAAAGAGGTATAAATGAGGAAGCCTTAAAAAGTTGATCTAAAGTGAATATGCTAATATACAGCCCTTGATTTTGTCCAAGCTTGCTGTCATAACGATGGACGGCAAATAGTTTTTAAAGTATCATTTACCATCTTTCTGAATCTAAGATCTACTTGGAAATATTTTTCATTCTGGCAGATATGAATGGACCTGCAAATGTGAATTCAGGTAAGGAATGCTATCCCTATGGTGGCTATGGTGATTATTATCATTATTTAAATTTGCACACTGCCCAATTCTCAACAGCTTTAAAGTATATTGTAAATAAATTTGCAATCTTTATTCTCTTTGAGGTATAAACAAATTTATATTTGACTTTTCACTCACTAGAGGCAGCTTTGGACCTCCAGATATCAAGGACAACTCCTTAATTCTAAGCAGAATAACAAAGTCCTATAGCTAAAAGGGTTTATCAACTTCTCTATCCTTTCTTTGGACTATTATTTCCCTCCTTGAGCAGAAGAGATAAAAACAACAATTTTCACTGAAAAGATTTTAGTAGAACTTTCCATAATTTTCATTTGACAGCTTTGTTCTAAAGGAATGTAGTAATTTGTGTCTAAATATAAATTGCTCATAATATGGGAAGAATTTGGCTATTGGCAAACTCACCAAACTGCAAACTAAGCACATTTTAAACCTGAAAAACTAAGCCATCATTGGGCTCTATTCATACAACACACTAATTAATAGTTTATTTAACCATTGTTTATTGAATACTTTCACACAAATCTCGGACCCCCAAGACTTAAAATTTGAAACATAACATTTCTTCAAGCCTCGTGGACTACCTCTGACAACATTGCAACCCCTTAGGGATCCACAGACCATAGGTTGAAACCACTGTTCTAATACATATAATTATATATAATGCAGTAAGAAACAAGCAAATAATATTTTGAAGTAACATGTAAAGAGTTCAAATTTACAATTGATATTAACAAAGATTGCCCAAAAGCTGATGTCCAATCATACACAGTTCATGTTTATATAGTAGAATAGGCTTTTTGAATTGCATTACTTGTACCCCCAAATTCTGAAAGATTGGGTTATTAAAAAACAGCAATTTGACTGGCACTAAGGAATATGAACATTGTCTAAAACTTAACAAAAAATCTAGATTGTGATTAAGCACAGTGTGATTAAGCAGCTATTATAATTAATGCATAGTTTAATGTGTTCATTAGATCACAGGAGTTCATTAAGAATGCATGGGCTGTATAGTAAATTGTATGCTGCTAAAAGAATTTGATAACTATGCTTTCCAACATAGTAGTCAATTTTTTGCTTTAGTAGCTCAAGTGTCTCAAAACTTTGTTTTTTTACACATAAATATATGTGCGAGTGTGTAACATCGTACTTATAAGTTTTAACTTTTTCGTAACCCCATTTTTTAATATGTCCTTCTATTTATATGTTTATATTGTTATGTTGATGTAAACTGTCCACTTAGATGAGATGGGCCGTATAAAAATGTAATAGTTAAAATAAATATCTGGCCCTAAGAAATCACGAAGAAATATATGTCCTGTGTAAGATATAATAATGTTGCTGTTTTAGGATTCAGTAGTCCTTGACTTACAAGTACAATTGAACCTAACATTTCTGTTGCTAAGCAAAACAGTTGATAATTGTGTCCCATTTAATGATGTTTCTTGCCACCGTTGTTAAGTGAATCAGTGCAGTTGTTATTAACATGGTTATGTGAATCTGGCTTCCCCATTAATTTTGCTTGTTGGAGGGTCACATGACCCTGGGACACTGCAACCATCATAAATACATGTCAGTTGCCCACTGTCTGAATTGTGATGTGTCCAAGGGGATGCTGCCATTGTCACGCTAAAAGCAGTTATTCAGCCACTTTTTCAGTGGTGATGTATCTTCGAATGGTTTTAGGTTGAGAACTACCTATGCTCAAAACTGGGTTCATATGTTGGAGGACATAGTTTGCCTAACCATGAGCAACCATAATTGGCAGGATTAGCACATTATTCAAACCTTTTCAATCAGTTTTGCAACCTTAAATGGCAAGGTTGATCCAACAGACTAAGCAAAAGGGAAACAAACCCCATTAAGGGTTTAACCTGATGTGTGAGCTTTGTCAAGTTTTGCTGCTTGAAGCTGCTGCTTCTCTTTTAAATGGTCAGATCAACCCTGGTCATTTCTGGCATGAAAAGCAAGGATATTCAGACCGTCCTAGTTTTCATCTGAGATCAATGCTTGGAGGCATCCCTTTTTGGGGGTAAAAAGGATAAAGAAATCCACTATTTCAAGAACTATTTCTCAGCGGATCCTTTAACTGCAGGCAAACAAGCAGGTACAGACACCGCCCCTCCCTAAAGCTTGCCAGCTCACGGAGTAAGCGGCGAGGGAGCGAGGCTATTTATAGAGCAATGGACGATCACGTGATTTCGAATGACGTCACTAAATGTTGTTGTTAGTGTTTGGCGGCGGTAGCGGCGGGCAAGCAAAGCCAGCTGCAAAGATGGAGGAGAAGAGGAAAAGGAGGAGGTGGTTGTGGTTATGAAGGGTTGCCGCGGCAGGACAGCCGGTTATAGTTTTCTTGTTGGAGAGGGGAGGGGGGATCAGGAAGAAATCGATCTGGGGTAGGCCGGGCCCAGTAATTGCAGCTTCCCATCCTGCACGCACATCTGCAAGGAAAGCAGCCGCAGCAGCAGCAGGAACGCGCCATTTTTCCCCGGTCTTCTTCCAGGTAAAGAAAGAGAGCGGGATGGCTGAAGCGTGTCGGCGGAAAGCTTGGGGTTGGTGTTCCCCACGGCGCGTGCTAGCTTGCTTGCTTGCTGTTGCTGCTGCTGCTGCTGCTGCCGCCGCCGCCGCCCGGCCCGCCGGTGGCTTGAACGCTGGAGGTTCTGCAGCTGCTTGCCAAAGAAAGGATCTGAAACTGCAGAGCGGCACACGGGGGGGGGGGGAGGTGGTGGCGGGATCCGCGCCTGGCTAGGGTCTTCGGTGGGCCTGAGGCTTTGCCTAAAGACGTGGCTGTGCGAGCCAGGTGAAAAGAGGGTGGAAATGGAGAGGCTGAAGTGCACCCGTCAG